GACTGGTTAACAAACCATGGAATGCAATGTCTTTAAAAAGGTACCACCAATAGAATAAGATTGCAAGATTAAATTCTAGTCTGAACAATGTTCATTTAGAATTATGCTTATGTAAATGTACTGATCAAATAAGATTTATAAAAAGAGTTCATCTTGCTTCAAAAAATTGTTAAGCAGAAAGCACTTAGTAAAAAGCCAAGTAAGTGGCAAATGGCACTATGAGCCGAGCGCCAAAAACTTGTGCAAATTAAAGCTAAGTGGCAAATGGCACTATGAGTTGAACGCCAAAAATTTGCGCAAATAAAAGCTAAGTGGCAAGTGACATTCAAGCTGAGCGCCAAACACTTAACCAAGTAAGTGGCAGATGGCACTATGAGCCGAATGCCAAAAACTTGCACAAATAAAAGCTAAGTGGCATTCTAGCTGAGCGCCAAACACTTAACCAAGTAAGTGGCAAATGGCACTATGAGTCGAACGCCAAAAACTTGGGTAAATAAAAGCTAAGTGGCAAGTGGCATTCTAGCTGAGCGCCAATCACTTAACTAAGAAAGTGGTAAATGGCACTATGAGCTGAACGCCAAAAACTTGCGCAAATAAAAGCTAAGTGGCAAGTGGCATTCTAGCCGAGCGCCAAACACTTAACCAAGTAAGTGGCAAATGGCACTATGAGCCAAGCGCCAAACACTTGCATGAAAGAAAACAACAAACCATTGTACCAAGTTGAAATAAGATTCAGAATGTTTGACTGCAGTATAGTTGGCAAATATATATATATATATATATACATTTCATTCATTAGTACAAAGCAAGTTTTGATTTGCAACAAAAAAAAAAAAAAAAAGAAGTCACGATGAAATGAAGTAAAGATAAGAGGTCCACAAAATTCTAGTCAACTCTCTCATCTCCCCTGGCAAGCCCATCGTTCTCCTCACCATCAGTAACTACTTTATCACCTCTGAGAGGGGAAACCAGATGAATAACTTTCTCAGTAGACTAAATTCCACCATCAACAGCAATAGCAGGTGGAACCATGGTCGAAAGAGGGGAGATGTCCAGAGGATGATCGGTTGAAATAGCAGGAATAACCCCAGAAGACACAACTCATTTGCATTCCTTGAAGATACGTTCCGCATGGTCAGAGATCAGATCAGTATAAACGTTCAGTGAATCGATCTTCAAGAATGTGTCAACATCATCCGGATTAGCGTAGGAGCTAGTCTGACCTTTAGGAGGAGAACGGTCTATATAACCGTCTTTATATCCTTCGGTATATCTGAGGGCTCCAATTTAGGAGAAGCGAGCGTGAAGAGCCTTCATACTACCGTCAACCTTGCTCATAATGCCTAGCAAGGTTACACGCTCATCTGAAGATCTCTTTTCAAGAGCCAGTCGGTTCGCCCGTTCATCATCCAAGGAACGTTGAAGATTTTCTCTATCAGTCCTTAGAATATCTCTTTCGGTCTGCATAACGTTTCTTTCTGTTTGCAGAGCATCTTTCTCATCAAGAAGGGAATCTTTTTTTTTTTTTTTTTTTTTTCAGGGCATCCCTTTAATTCTCAACAGCATTCAGCCAAACCATCAATTCTGCATTTTTGGTATTGATTAGCTTGTTCTCTTTATTGGCCATATCAAGACCAACAGAAAGTTAGCACGTCTTTATGTTGGATGATTCGACATGCTTCTGCATGGTCATTATCCCGAATAGAGTCTGCAGACAAATGCATAAATACTGATTATACCTAGCGTACATCCGAGGAAGTTAGAATATTAAAAAATTGATATTAGCAAAAGAAGGATGAAAAATTACCTCCATAGCAACAAGAGGAAAAATGGCTGAACATTTCCTTTTGAGTCTATTCCTTATGCATTTGAATATCCATGGGAGACCACAAATGCTTATAGTAGGCAAGGGCGGTTAGACCATCCTTGAACATGGTGTCATTAGAAGTAACAATCGATCCATCCACCCAAACAAATTGAGGATTCAATGGAACTGCCTTGAAAGGTGAGGTGGAAGTTCCCCCTTGTTCCAACGGTAGTAGCGGGCACTCCCTACGATGGAACAAGTGCAATCACCCCTGAGGTCCGAACCCTTTGTGACAGAGGAACTTCATCAAGGCTAGACCCACCTTCTGGTTGAGGTCTTTTTCCTTGACTCTTATCCGAAGTAGACGCTCGAACAAGAGGGGGTTATGAGCCCCAAGAATGTTGACTAGGGCAACACGAGAAGGATTTAAGCTCGGATTGATGATGGGAACAGTATTGGGAACAACATTTGAGGTGGCAGCAGAATCAGAAATTGAGGCAGAGGTAGAAGCCGAGGCAGAGACATTATCACACCTGAGAGGGTTCCTTCTCCTACTGAATGAAGGAATCTGAATCTGATCATGATAGCACCCAAAAATGATATGTCGCTAAGATTCTCGGGTGTGAGGAGTTCTGAGCAAGAAAGAATGTCGATTAAAACTTTTTCCTTCAGATGATCGATTCTATCCCTGCAAATGCTATAACCCAATTCGTTATGAGGAATACCCAAAGAATCGAAAAGAAAAGAACAGAAGCGTGGAAGACAAGTTTTACGAGGGCATTCACTCTTATGAGTTTTAAATCTCTTATACAAAGGGACAGAACACTTCCCAAAGGCGGTCGGGATGGGATAATCCCTAGCAGCTGGAGTATACCAAGCCCCTCTGACCCTGATTATGTTTTTCTTCCATCCTTTCTCGGAATCAAGCTTATCAGTACATATGGACCATTTTTCAATGGGGAATAAATGATAATACATATCGATCTGTCTAATCTTACTGACTCTGTAACAAAGAAGAAGATCTAGAATGTCGAGATCTAAGCCCCTGTCTTGGTTCAGAATCAAAAGAATTGACAAAACCCTAAGAAAGTTAGGGTTCACTTGAAGATGGGAAATGTTTAATCTGTTGAAGACATAACAAAAGAAATAATGTAAAGAAAATCTGATCACATTAAGGTGAAGGAGAGAAAACAAGATCTCACCGAGGAGAAGACCTTCACGGGTCCTCATATTCACATTTTTGGGACATGCCCTAATAAGTACATCACTAGGGATTTCATTTTTTGAACGAAGAAGTTCTAAGTTAATAGCCATAATGGCGATGATCAGAACCCTCTAAAGAATATATTTAACTTTCTAAGAAATAGAAGGAAAGTAGGACTAACCTTAAGAGTTAGGGTTTGTTAAAGATATTATGGAAGAGCTGGGAAAGAGAAACCTTTAATAAAGACTCGCCGAAGAAGACTTGATATTTTCGGAGAAAATGGGTAGTGAGTTGATTGACAAGAGACAGATGGAGACAAGAGAAAGGACTGGAAGTACATGCCAAGGAGTTTTAAAAGGAGAGATGGTCCCAATGACCGAAGCGTCAGGCAAATAAAGAGATTTTAAAATTCAAAACACTGACTTCTGAACCGATCGTTCACTCCCACACGTCACCGTCTCGAGCAGTCGTGCCCACATCACTGTCTCGAGCAATCATATCATAATTGCACCTCTTTGGTAATCTCACCCGAATCAATTAGGGAGAGATTAGGGGGCAGGTGAAGATACCAAAAGTAGCTTGGGCTGGGTATGACCCATCCAACTAAAGATTGGATTGGGAGAGAACAATTGACCCGATCGAATGACAGCTCAAAAGGCCCAATCTCCATTAAGATGATCTGCAAGCCCAATCTCAAAGAAAAGAAATGAACCTGCACTGAAAAAAAGCCCAAAGGATCAGCCCAACATGGAGGATGAAAAAGGAAGCTTCTAGAATACTTGCAAAAGGCTATAAATAGAATGAAAAGAAAGGGAAAAGAGGTGGAGATATTTTGAAGTGTAAGAAAACAGTTTTCCAAATTTAGAGAATATTTTCATTGCATCTTCAAGTACGAGTATGGTAGCGGCGACATCAATATATATATGAGAACTTGGTTGTTGGGAATAGATGTTTTGCATCTTTACAAAAGTGCTTTCTTTTTCTCTCTCTCTGTTCTATAATAGTAATAGTGACTATGGCATGGCATGGAATTGAACTGATTAAGGGCCTTTTTCCACATTGCAAACAACTATCTAAATTCAATTCTATGTTAAAAAAGAATTCCTTTTGGGTTTCAGTCCAAAGCTTAAACCAATCAATATCCCGTTCCTGAGTTTCGGAATTTATTCATTTATCGCGAAGTTTCCCATCGATCGAGGATGATATATATATATATACATATCATAACCAGAAAGAGAGAGAGGGGGAGGGGGAGGGGGAGGGGGAGGAGATAGGGGCATTAATATGCACTTATGGGTGAGAGGTAAAATGGGAATCAAAAAAATAAAATTGGGTTTTCATATTTAGTTTTTGTTGGTCAAAGGGGCTTATTTGCACCTTTTTAAAATTTTATGGACTAACGTGCACATTTTCAAAAAATAGGGACTAGTTCTGCACAAACTCTATATATCAGGGTTTTTTTTTTTGCACTTAACCCCCTTTTATTGATACAAATTTAAACTCCCCAACTGAAAAAAATAAAAAAATAAATAAAAATCTATGGTCAAGAAAAACCAATAGGAATTTTATTATTATTATTATTATTATTATTATTTAGATTAACTATTTAATTGGAGGGAAGATTGGAGATGATAGATTATGTTGATTATGTCAAGGAATACAGCGTCTGGTGATAAATGCAGTCTAAAAAGATGAAAGGAAAATTTGAACATTTATTATTAGGTAGTTATGCTTTATGAGAGTGGGATAATTTAATAAATATGTATATTGAGATGGATGTATGTCAAAGAACAGGGTGGATAAAATCAGAAATGAACCTATATGATTCGATGTTGACGTCTCTTGAGACTTGAGTTATTGAGTCCAAAATAATTGTAATTTATTAAATTGCTTCTTCTTTTTTCTTTTTCTTTTTCTTTTTCTTTTTATTTTTTTAATTATACAGATTGTGTATAGTGTTTGTTCATTGATTTACTTGATCTTTGTTCGATGGTTGCTACTGGATCTCAAGAAGTCTTCTCAATTCGGTATTCTTATCATGTTTTCTTAAGATTAAGAGGTAAAGACACTCGAAAGACCTTTACCAATCATCTTTATACAGCTCTACTATATGTAGGAATACACACATTTAGGAACAATGATGAACTTGGGAGAGGAGATGATATCTCCTCAGAACTTACAAAGGCAATTGAAGAGTCGAGGATGTCAATAATTGCATCTTCAACATGGTGCCTGGATGAACTTCTAAAGATTATGGAACGCAAGAAGAGTGATTGGTCATATGATTCTACCCATTTTCTACCATGTGGGCCCATCTAATCTAAGGTGGCTAAACCGAAGTTTTGGAGATGCATTTGCAAAACATGTAAAGAGATTCAATTCGAAGCCAAATGAAAGAAAAGAGAAGGGAATATTCAGGAAAAAGGGAAAAAGAAAAGAGGAGGGAATGAACAAGATAAGGAGGTGGAAGGAAGCTTTGAGAGAAGTTACAGATTTGTCAGTATCAGTTTTAAAAGATGAGTAAGCTCCTTTAATTCCTTCCTTTGACATCATTTGGTTCAAGTTTCATTAATTGAATGTCTTTTTCTTCTTCTTCTTTTTCCTATAAATAATTAGTTGTACGTTTTTGGATCCTATTACTATCCCTCCACTTTATTAACTTGTAGTATTTAAAACATCATACAACATTCCTAAACATTATTAACATTGTTTAAAATCATTTTGAACTTTATTTTTGATAAATATCTTTTTGAATTTTGTCTAAACAATTTAGGAGAATTTATTACTTAACTCTAAGAAATTATATTAAGTCATTTCAGTGGTTATATATTTATTTGTAAAATTGATTATAAAAAAGTTTTCATCCAATGTATCAATTAAAAATAGAAAGTTTGACACAATTCAGAAAATGGATACAAAAACATGAACATAAGAAGAATGGTTAGATATTAGAATAAAATTTTATGCTTTTTGATGGCATTCTTCTTTTGAAGTTACGTCAAAAGTACTCCAGGAAAAAGTAGAGAAAATAAATTATGTTGTCCTTTAAAAACACTTTCACACTCCATAGTTATCCCAAAAAGTATTTTTATACTCAATTTTTTGAGGATGATTTTACTATTTTCCTTACTTAAAAAATTGGGTGAATTGCAAAAGTCAAAAGTTTTTTTTTTTTTTTTGATGACCCAGAACTTCCTGAAACAAGGCCCCTCAGGGATCCTACCCCATGGCGCAAAAGTCAAAAGTTGAGTATGAATATCACATTCCAAAAAAGGAAAAGTTCTGATGCCTTTTTACAAAGGATTTTGAATGTTTTCAAGAATCAAAGTATGTTTTCAAAACCTTGGAACATGAGTTGAGCGGACTTTGAAACAATACCAACATGGGGAATGTTCAGTCAATTTCTAACATGTCTGTAGTATTTTAACAATATCTCCCTCCATACTTGAAGTTTCAAGATGGTCTTATATGGTCAAAATCTAGACTCAATAAGCTTTCCAACTATATATTATTTCTTTAATTTTGAGTTCGTGTGACCCCTTAACAAAGTCCAAAGTTGCGGAAATTTTGAACTTGCCGGAAAGTCCAACTAGTTGAAAATTTTCCAACCGGTCCAACTACTCTTCGTAGTCTCCTGATAGCTTTGAGATTGACATCAAATAGGATTTTAAACCACATTTTTCTATTTTTATTTGAAATCTCAAGTATATTTAAACTTCTTTATTCCTCAACTCTTAACAACAATAGACGTACTTATTTTTCATTATTAGAGCTTTTGCTTGATTTTGTGTTCTTTTCTCAAGTATTTTTCTATGTTTGAGAACACACACTATTTCATGAGAGTAATAAATACCAAGGCACAAAAAAGGACAAAAAATAAAAAGAAAAGATAGGGGCTTCCAAACATCTCAATAAAAGACAGAAACATCTCAATAAAAGACTATTTGGCAAAGTTCAATAGAGCCTAACTACTTTTTGACCCAACTCAACCTGTGGTAGGGTTCACCACCTGTGAGTATCGGTTGAGTCGGGCATCGGGCCGATACTCGATGCCCGACTCAACCGATACTCACAGGTGGTGGACCCTACCACAGGTTGAGTCGGGTATCGGATATTGAATATCAGTGGACCTTACCACATGTCATAACTCAACCTATGCTAATTATAAAATCTGACACGTGTGACATCCTAGATATTGGATTTCCAACTCGGCCCGACTTAACCTATGGACCTTACAATTTGCACAGGTGGGCCGATACTCACATATCGGTGGACCCTACAATTTGCATAGGTTGAGTTATCACATGTGGTGGACCCTCCCACAGGTTGAGTCGGGTGTCACATGTGTCGGATTTTACAATTTGCACAGGTGTTATCATAATTTGAATATCGGTTGAGACGGGTGTCGGATATTTTGAACTTTTCCATAATTTGTCCATTGTCAAAAAGTCGTTAGGCTCTATTGAACTTTGCCAAACAGTCTTTTATTGAGATTTCAAATCAAAATAGAAAAATGTGGTTTAAAATCCTATTTGACGTCATACAATCTCGAAGCTATCAGGAAACTACGAAGAGTAGTTGGACCGGTTGGAAAATTTTCAACCAGTTGGACTTTCCTGCAAGTTCAAAATTTTCGCAACTCTAGACTTCGTTGAGGGGTCACACGAACTAAAAATTAAAGAAATAATATATAGTTGGAAAGCTTATTGAGTCTAGATTTTGACCATATAAGAGCATCTTGAAACTTCAAGTATGGAGGGAGATATTGTTAAAATACTACAGACATGTTAGAAATTGACTGAACATTCCCCATGTTGGTATTGTTTCAAAGCCCGCTCAACTCATGTTCCAAGGTTTTGAAAACATACTTTGATTCTTGAAAACATTCAAAATCCTTTTGTAAAAAACAAGTGCACTCACACACTCATTTACTAAGTGATGTTTAAATTCGATATATATATATATATTGAGCTTATGTCGATCACGTTTTGTTCAACTTCCGGAGACTAAAGTAAACGTAAATTACAACTCAATTAACACGTTTTGAAACTAAAATTTGTTCACACATTGTACCTGAAGACACCAAAAGTGACCCGGGCTTGGTATGATTCATATTGCTAAGAACGAGTCAAGTATGGGCAACCGAGATGGGGCAATTCCTCGCTGAATGGGCCCAGGTCCAAGAAGTTATTAGGGAAGCCCACATTGTGATGAAAGGAGTTGGGTCCAAATAAAAGGAAAGAAGATAGGTCCAGCCCAGGAGCGATTGTAACCGTCTATAAATAGACGGAAATGAGAGGGAAATGTGGTTGAAAAATATTTTGGAAGTGTAAAGTTTCTCTCTCTAGAATTGGGGAAAATTTTTTGTATATTCAATTGGCTCCGTCTGTGGGAAGAACGACGAAGATTGTTTGGTGTTGATCTAAATCAATTTTATTCAGAGCACTCTGCGAAGAAGGTGCTTGATCTCTGAAAGCTGAATCAAGATTGATGGAATTGTGATCTTTCTTGATGAATCTCAGTTCCAGTTGATTTCGAGAGGTTGGCGTCTGATATACGTAGATCTGATCTGTGCTTGTTCTGGCGAGCTGCGCAGTTGCAACTTGTTGAGATTACCAAATTCAGCAAGCTCGTAGCTGAAGTAATCCAAATCCAGCCAGCAACGAACAGAATTCAACAAGTTTGAGTCCAGATCTGGGGCGTTTGCATTAGCAAAGCTCAAATCTGATCTAGAAATTTACAGTTAATGACTTTGCTCCGATCAGGAATGATGATCGGAGAAAAGAGCTCAAATCCCTTGGAGAATGGCCAACAGTCAAAGCTCTATGAGTTGATGAACATGATCGAAGTCCTGAGAAAAGAAAATGCAGAATTACGAGCTGGAATGGAGCATGGTGAAGCTCCTACTATTACGAGGCCACCTCCGGTAAGAGAGGGAGTCTTGCTGTTCAATGCTGTTCATTAAGGTGACCCAGAAGGTGTCAATCACGTGGATCCTCATCGTGATGAAGTCTTAGTAGGTGATCTACCTCCAAATGTCCATCAAGTAGAGGATCGAGAAGGATCTATTCATTTGGAGCCACACCGTGAACGGATCATGCGAGAGGAAGTGCCGGTGAACGATCGTAGGGCTGCATCACCGTGGCATAGTGAGTTTGCGGAGGACAGATCGTTTGATCCACCTTATCGACCTTCAATGGCAACATTTGATTTCCACAGTTCAGAGAGGAGATCTGCCGATCAGGGAGTTCCATCACGATTTTTAAGGGAGAACGAAGCACTGCGCTCATCAGCAAGAACGGTTGCATCTCCGTTCACTGATGAAATCCTAAACGCTCCAAATCCGAAGAAGTTCTCACTTACCAATCTTCATTTTGTTTGATGGAATAATTGACCCGGTCGACCACATCTACCACATTCAGTTGAAAATGGCTTTGAATACTAATAATGATCCTTTGATGTGCAAATGCTTCCCTATAAGTTTGGTTGGGCTAGTCCTCAATTGGTTTAAGAATCTGGCTCAAGGCTCAATTACTAGTTTCCAGGACTTGTGTGATAAGTTCATAAGCCAGTACTGTGGGAATAAACGCCCGGCTAAGGATGTTTCAAGCCTTTTCACAATGAAGCAGCACGAAGATGAACGACTCCAAGCTTTCCTCACCCGGTTCAACCTTATCAAAAACATGGTAATGGAATGTCATCCGTCTACAGCGGTCCAAGTGTTTAAACTTGCAATGAACCGAGGGACACCGTTCCACACAAGTTTGGTGGTGAATATGCCGAAGACTATGGACGAGCTGAACGAGAGAGCTGACAGTTTTGTGCATCTAGAAGAAGAAAAGGCAGCTAATGTAAGGAAGATGTTAATTATTTCAACAGAAGAGAAGTCCAAAGCCAAGATCCAGCAAAAACAAGCTCAGCCACAACGTCAGACCTCCTGGAAGGCAGAGAAAAGGCCCAGAGAGGAGGAGTTGGTTACTTCACTCATAGTTACCCTGGCAAGGCTGTATCAAGAAAATAAAGATAAGTTTCGCCCTCCCTTACCAATCAGACAACCTTTTTAACAGAGGGATTAAACTAAACATTATGCTTTCTATAGTGACTTTGGACATCAGACTAATGAATGCAAGAACCTAAAGAGGCAAGTGGAGATGCTGATCGCAAAGGGGGAATTTGCAGGATATGTTCAAGGTCCAGCACAAGAGCAAAACCGACTGGCTGAGCAGATTAAGAGAAATCAGAAGCCGAATCACCACAGCACTTAACCTGTTCGGATTATAAATGCAATTCACGGCCAACCTAAACAGACAGTGGAGTCAGAGGAGTTACTCAAAATGCGATTACGCCAGGCCCAGCTAAAGAGAAGGATTGGCAGTGTACATGCTTTACATCAGGAGAACGCATCAGCACAGATAAAGTTTGACATAACAGACCTGTTACGCGTTCAGGTTCCTCATGAAGATCCACTGGTTGTCAGTCTAACAGTTGCAGAATACCTGGTACGAAGAGTTCTGATTAATCCAGGAAGTAATGCAAATGTCATGCCCAGAATAACGTTCTACCGGCTTGAGATCAAACCCGAGAAGCTTAAACCTATAGGAAATCCATTGCTAGGATTTGATGGGAAACGGGTGGAGCCCATTGGTATAGTGGAATTGACAGTACAAGCTACTGAGAGAGTTCTGAGCGAGAGTTTTGTGGTTGTAGAAATTCATCCATTTTACAACCTCTTGATGGGAAGATGGTGGATTCATAGAGTTCAAGGTGTCCCATTAACCCTACATCAAGTGATGCGATGCTTGGGTCCAGATAGGACCAAGTGATTGACATTCATGGGGACTAGGTTGTAGCTAAAGAATGTTATTCAGTGACTTTGAAATCTACTGGAAAAGGGAAAATTCTTATCCGTTCTGTAAGTCCAAGATAGCAATTACAGGAACCTCCACCCAACAAAAGTAGGGAGGAGAAGCCGCCAATTCTGACTGCAGAACCTCTTCTTGATGTGCAGATCGACCATAAGAAGCCGGACTGAACAACGAGGGTGGCATCCATACTTGTTGAAGAGGAAAAACTAGGGCTGACTGACTTCTTGACTCAGAATGCAGATGTGTTCGCGTGAAGCCATTCAGACATGCCAGGAATTAATCCTTTTGTGTCCTGTCATTCCCTCAATATAGATCCGAATGCAAAGCCTGTGAAACAGAAGCAGAGAAGATTTGCTTCAGAATGCAATCGAATCATAGCTGAGGAGATTGATCAGTTGTTTGAGGCAGGATTCATTAGAGAGGTTCAATACCCGGTTTGGCTCTCCAATGTCGTTGTTGTGTAGAAAAAAGAATGGGAAATCGAGAGTATGTATTGACTTCACTAATCTGAACAAAGCTTGCCCAAAGGACAGCTTCTCATTGTCAAGGATTGATCAAATGGTGGATGCCACTACTGGGTACGAGCGATTAACCTTCCTAGATGCTTATTCAGGTTATAATCAAATCCCTATGGACCTAGTTGATGAAGAGAAAACTTCTTTTGTAACTGAACGTGGGACCTACTACTACAAAGTCATGCTGTTCAGATTAAAGAATGTTGAAGCTACTTATTAGAGGCTAATCAACAAGATTTTCAAAAATCAAATGGGCATAACTGTAGAGGCTTACATTGATGATATGGTGGTCAAGAGTAAGAAGAAGGAAGATCACTTGGAGTATTTACATGATGTGTTCGGTGTGTTGAGGAAATACGGAATGAAGCTTAATCCAACCAAATGCTCATTCGGCGTAAGTTCTGGCCAATTCTTGGGGTACGTGGTCAATCATAAAGGAATTGAGGCTAGCCCAGCCCAAGCAGAAGCTCTGATTAGAAATGCAGAACCAAAGATAATTCAAGAAGTGCAAACACTCACAGGTTGAATAGCTGCACTGAACCGATTCATTTATAAGCTCTTAGACCATTGTAAACCATTTTTTGAAACGATACGAGGCCATGGAAGACAAGCCTAGGGGGATGAACAACGACAGACATTGACTAGCCTAAACGATTAAATGCAAACCCCTCCAATTTTATCTGCTCCCGAGCTAAATGAAAAGTTGTTTGTGGTACCTTGGGGTATCCAGCATCGCGACAAGTGCCATTCTGATCCGTTGTAAAAACGGAAAGCAGTTCCTAGTATTTTATTTCAGTAAAACAATGGCCGAGCCGGAAAGAAGGTACTCAAAGGCCGAATGGATGATCTTGTCATTGGTCAACGCAAAAAAGAAGCTTAGGCATTATTTCGAATCCCATCCAATTGTCGTCTTAACTATTTTTCCTATAAGGATGATCTTGCACAAGCCAGATTTATCAGGAAGAATGACAAAATGGACCATTAAGTTGAGCTCAAATCAAATGGGGGCAGGAATTGGAATCAAATTACAAACACCAGAGGGCACCACGCTGAGCCAAGTGATCAGACTTGAGTTCAAAGCAACCAACAACGAGGCAGAATACGAGGCATTGTTAGCTGGGCTGAAGTTGGCTAAAGAGCTGAAGATTAAGAATCTAATTGCTTATAGCGATTCACAGCTAATTGTTCGGCAGGTAACTGGAGAATAAGGAACCAAAGATAAGACTATGGAGGCATACCGAACTGCAGTTCTACGTGAGGCAAAAGACTTCGATCAGATTAAGTTCATTCAGTTACTAAGGGAGTATAATGAAGATGTCGATCGCTTGGCCTGTAGTGCATCCAGTTCTGGAGAAACACTAGCTAGGGTCATCCTGGTTGACGTGTTAATCCAGCCATCCATTTTTTATGAACTGCCCGATCCGAGCACTAAGCAAGTTAATGTTATACCATATGAGCCAAGCTGGATTGATCCGATCATGGCTTTCGTACGTGATGGTGTGCTGCCCGAACAGAAAGATGAAGTAAGAAAAATTAGGTCCAATGCCACAAAATATGCTATTGTGCGTGATCAGTTGTACAGACTGTCCTTTTCGGGTCCATACTTGAATTGTGTTACCCTAACAGAGGCTAGACAGATCATGCGAACCATTCATGAAGGTGTATGCGGAAATCATTCGGGAGGAAGATCTTTGGCACACAAAGCAATGACACAGGGGGTACTTTTGGCCAAACATGGCACGGGATGTAGAAGAATTCTCTAGAAGATGCGATAAATGCCAAAGGTTCGGACCATTGATACACTAACCACCTAAAGACTTGCACGTAATGGCCACGTCATGGCCTTTCACACAATGGGGGATAGATGTGGTTGGCCCTATGCCGACCGCAAGATCGTAGAACAAGTACGTTCTGCTAGCAACAGATTACTTGACCAAGTGGGTAGATGCAGAGCCGTACCCTAGTGTTACCCAAACTCAAGTAAGACGCTTCATCTGGAATAATATTATCTGTCGCTTTGGCGTACCAAGGTCGATCGTTATGGACAATGAGACCAATCTCGATAGCAAGCAAGTGAAGGAGCTGCTGGAAGAATATGGAATTAATCAAAAGTTGGCAGCAGTCAGCCATCCCCAGGCTAATGGTCAAGTTGAGATCACGAATAGGACAATATTTGCCTGCATCAATAAGAAGCTCGAAAATGAAAAAGGAAAATGGTTAGACGAGCTTCCGAGTGCCTTGTGGGCTTACAGAACAACCCCAAGACGGCCGACCGGGGAGAGCCCATTCGCTATGGCGTACGGCACTGAGGTAGTGATACCAATCGAGCATTTAGTTCCAATCGTTAGAAGCTTGGCATGGAATTAAGAGCAGAATGATAGAATGTTAAGATTTAATCTTGATCTGTTGGAAGAGAAAAGGGATGCAGCTGCAATAAGGCTTGTTTCTTATCAGCAAACGTTAGTAAATAGCCATAACAAGAGGGTGAAGCACAGAGACTTTGCCCTTGGTGATCTGGCTCTGAAAAGAAAGTGGGGATAGTCAAAAAGATGTTTTCGCCACGGAAAGGTCCATACAGGATTGTAGAAGTCATAGGGAAGGGGGCATACGTCCTGGAGACCATGGCAGGAAGGTTGGTCAGTAAACCATGGAATGCCACGTCTCTGAAAAGGTACTGCCAGTAGAAGTAGAATTTAATTCCGAACAGTATGCTCGTTTTGACTTGCATACTTGCAAATGTACGAAATTCTCAAGTTTTATGAAAAAAGTTTATTTCACTTAAGATTAATTGGCATTCTTCCCACATAGCAGAGCAAATGGCAGCTGGCACTACGAGCCGAACGCCAAACTCTTGCATTAAAATAAATATATGCCGAGTAGCAAAAGGTATTCTAGCCGAGCGCTAGGCACATAGCAGAGCAAGTGGCAGCTGGCACTACGAGCCGAACGCCAAACTCTTGCATAAAAATAAATATATGCCGAGTGGCAAGAGGCATTCTAGCCGAGCGCCAGACACATAGCAGAACAAGTGGCAGCTGGCACTACGAGCCGAACGCCAAACTTTTGCATAAAAATAAATATATGTCGAGTGGCAAGAGGCATTCTAGCCAAGCGCCAGGCACATAGCAGAGCAAGTTGTAGCTGGTACTACAAGACGAATGCCAAACTCTTGTATAAAAATAAATATATGCCGAGTGGCAAGAGACACTCTAGCCGAACGTCAGACACATAATAGAGCAAGTGGCAGCTGGCATTACAAGCCGAACGCCAAACTCTTGCATAAAAATAAATATATGCCGAGTGGCAAGAGGGATTCTAGCCGAGCGCCAGGCACATAGCAGAGCAAGTGGCAGCTGGCACTACGAGCCGAACGCCAAACTCTTGCATAAAAATAAATATATGCCGAGTGGTAAAAGGCATTCTAGCCGAGCGCCAGGCATATAATAGAGCTGGTGGTAGCTGGCACTATGAGCCGAACGCTAAACTCTTGCATAAAAATAAATATATGCCGAGTGGCAAGAGACATTCTAGCAGAACGCCAGGCACTTAGCACAGTAAGTGGCAACTGGCACTACGAGCCGAACGCCAAACACTTGCTCAAAAATAAACATATGCTGAGTGGCTAGTGGCATTTTAGCTAAGCGCCAGACACTTAGCAAAGTCAGTGGCAGTTATCACTATAAGCCAAACGCCAAACACTTATGAAAAGTGAAATTTGAAAACTGAAACTTGAAATTAAAGAAAAAAGTTAGGTATCAAGTTATCATATCATCTAGAATTGAAGAATAGAAGTTTTACCAAAAAGAGGTATAATCATTCCCTGTTCCTTCATTACAAAATGATTTTGAGGTACATGGCTTGATGTTCTGAGGATACTTGAAGATACATTCAAAAAAAAAAAAAAAAACAAAATATCCTTGTTGCAAGAGATGGCAGAGTGCTAGTTGGCATGATCTCCTTCAAGCTATGACTCATTATTTCCCCCATCATTGCCCTCTGGCCCATTGTAGCCCTCTCTGTTTTTAGCTGTACTATCATCCTTGGAGGGAGAGTCAAGTTGAATCACCCCCTCAGTTAGCACGAGTCTGTCAGCGGCAACCGATGAGGAGGGGATGATAGTAGTGATAGGAGGAACGCTCAAAGGATGGCAGGGTGGAACGACCCCTGAGGCTGCAACCTCTCTGCATTCAATAAAGATATTCTCAGTAGGGTCGCAGGGTGGATTTTGGTAGTTGCTTAGTGGATGGATATCCAAAGATGCGTCTAGCTCATCTGGACCCGCATAAGAGCTAGATTCACCTTCATAGGGAGAACGGTCAATAAAACCGTCTCTATACCTTTCAGCATACCTAAGAGCACTGGTTCTAGTGAGGCGGGCAAGGAGAGCTCTCATACCACCCTCAACTTTACCCATTATATTCAGTAAAGATGACCGTTCATTAAAAGCTTTTCCTTTGAGTTGGCATGGGTCAGCCGTCCAGCAATTAGCGTACGCTGAAGGTCTCCCTTCTCAGCCCTTAGTGAGTCCCTTTCAGTCAAGGCGACGTTCTTCTCAGTCTTCAGGACATCAACTTCATCTTGAAGAGAGTTCTATTCAGCCTTAAGGAACTCGCGTTCAGCTTTCAAGGTGTCTCTCTCATTTACCAAAACGTCTTTCTCAGTTTTCAAGGCGGCAGTTTCTTTCTCTGACTCATTCAGCTTAGACACAAGCTCAGCGATTTTGGCCTCAAGATGGTTCTCCGATTCAACGGATCTTTTAAGGCCAGCAGAGATAGACTTGAGCTTCTTGTTCAGAACCTTAATGCTCTTCTGAAAGGTGAACATCCCAAATAGAGTCTGCACATAGGAAGGGAGGTTCTGGTCAGTTCGGCCACTAAAAAGTTAAAATAGAAAAGAGGCATATCTCATAAGAAAAAAAGTTACCTCCATGGCAGCTGCTGGGAACTGCCAGTACATCTCACCAAAGGTCATCCTGTTTTAGATTTCAAGATCCTTGGGAGTCCAGAAACCTTTGTAGAAAGCAAAAAAAGTAAGAGGGTTCTGGTATAAAGAATCTGTAGGGCTAATGGTCGAGCCATCTTCATAGTTGAGCAGAGGGCGCCATGGAAGAACGGATGGTGCTGGACAAGAGGTTCTGGCAGATTCACCCTCTGGAGTGAAAAACTGAGGTTGAGGCAGGTTCAGTGATCCTGAAAGAAGCCATCCTAGTCCTCCGAGCTGGTGGGACGTCACTCTGATCATAACCACCCTTAGTTATTGGCCTTTTTCCCAGACTTTTCTCTGACATACCAGCTCTAACTGGAGGAGACCCTCTATTGTTCTGAGATCCCCCAGCATCTTGAGTGTTTTCTAAAGAAGTGTCAGACAGAATGTTTGAAGGCACATTGGTGGGAGCAGTAGGATAGGCCTCAGTAGAATGATCCACAATACAGGTCTCAGCAGGGATGGATGCAGAAGGCCCGTTAGCAGAATGGTCTGTGACTTGAGTTATAACTGGAATAGTCATAACCTATTCTGGAGCTGAGACAGCTGAGGTGGACAATGTGGTAGCAGGTGTAGAGGAAGATATGGTAACAGGAGCAGCAGAAGGGATGGGAATAGAATGCCTCCTCCTACTGAAAGATAGAATCTGAATGTTCTCCATTGTAAATCCTAGGAGAGAGATGTTAGAGAGGTTGTCAGGAGTAAGTAAGTCTATAGCTGAAAGGACGTTGTTCAGCACACTCTCTTGTAAGATGTCTAGCTTGGCCCTGCAAACGCTATAAACCAGTTCATCATGAGGTATTTGAAGGCATCTATAAAAAAAAGTACAAAAATAGGGAAGGCAACTTTCACAGTGGCATTCAGTGGGAGGTGTTTTCAGTTTTTTATAACCAAAGACAGAGCATACTCCAAAGGTGGAGGGGATATAGAAAGATTGGCCGAACGGAGTCCGCCAATTCCCACTGACCCCAATCAAGTTTTCTTTCCAACCTTTTTCAAAAGAGTTCTTGTCCGTACAGATTGATCATTTTTCAATAGGAAAGAATAGATAGTACAGCTCACTATGTTTGATTCTATTAATTCGGTAGCAGAGGAGGAGGTCAATGACGTCAAGGTTGAGACCCCTATTATGGTTCAAGAGCAGAAGGACTAATTTGCTGAAGATATAACAAAAGAATGGATGTAAGGGGAACCTAATGACGTTTAAGTGGACAGCAAAGAATAAAATCTCCCCAGGAAGGAGACCTCACTAGAGCTCCCATCCAGGTTTATGGGGTAGATCTTGAGAGAAACGTCATTGGGAATACTATTTTTGAAACGAATGGCATTCAAATTAGGGGGTGCCATGGAGAAGGGGAGGAATCTCTGATAATGAAGGTTTTTCTTTCAAAAAGGATAATAAAAAAAAAAAAAAACTGACCTTAAGGAAGAAGTTTGTGAAGTACTCTGCAACAGCACAAGAGCCAAATCTCGAAGGAAAAACTTGCCGGAGGAACTGAAAAAAGCTTGCCGGAAAATACAGGAAGATGACAGAAGAGACCCGAAAAGACAACAACAGAGGATAAAATTAGGATATGTTAAAGGAAGATAAGGATTGAGAGGATTAGGGTTTTTAAAGAGAAGAAATGGAGGCAACACATCATTCGAAAGGTTGAAGCAAAAGTGGTGCAGCAAATCTCGGAGTCTGGGTCTTCGTGCCAGCCGTTCGATTCCCTGTGTCATCACTCCGAGCCGTCAGACCAAGATTGTGTCTTTTCAATAATCTCACCCTAATTAATTAAGGGAGAGATTATGGGGGCAGATGAAGACACCAAAAGTGACCCGGGCTTGGTATGATTCATATTGCTAAGAATGGGTCGGGTATGGGCAATCGAGATGGGGCAAGTCCTCGCTAAATAGGCCTAGGAAGTCATTAGGGAAGCACACATTGTGATGAAAGGAGTTGGGTCCAAATAAAAGGAAAGAAGATAGGTCCAACCCATGAGTGATTGTAACCGTCTATAAATAGATGAAAATGAGAGGGAAAAGTGGTTGAAAAATATTTTGGAAGTGTAAAGTTTCTCTCTCTAGAATTGGGGAAAATTCTTTGTACATTCAGTACCATGCGTTAAAATGTTAATCATCCTGTAATTAAAGCAAACGCAGGAGGTATTAGTATAACTTACCCAACAATCTATACTAGGGATCCAAATGGCTTTCCTCAGTCCTATTACCATAGTTTTATGGTGATAATATATATATATATATATATATATATATATATATATATATATATTGAGTTCTATGGGTAATCATATAAATAATTAAATACCATAATTATCTGTTTATATATTTATCTATCCGAAATCACTCTCAATTAAAGACCGTTATTTGTTTGATTTAGCCCAGTTTGGCCTATAATTGAGGTCAATCACAACTCCAAATTCCGGCTCAAAGATAAAGCCAATGGCCTGATTTTCTTTCAACCTGTGATCTGGGCCTCAATCTGGCAAATTTTGTTGGACGAGTCTATCAGTAGTCATTGCCCAATAGGTTTGTTCCGGACCAACAATATTTTATCAGCTTTAGATTCTTATGTTTAGTTTGGTTAAAAGGAAATAGCGAGAGAAGAAATGAAATGGAATTTTTTTGTACAGTTTTATGTTATTCAAACAATAATACAGGAATTTTTAATAGTTTTTTTGAAATTTTTTTTATGCTAACCAAATACATAATGGAAAATTTATATTTCTTTCATTCACTTTACTTTAAATTTCCACTACTAATTTCCATCGAACTAAACGAGCTTTATTGTTAGTCGATTAAGCAACCCTGTTAACTCTCTTTAGTCAACAGTCCGTAGAGTAATAGTTTGGGTAAAAGAATAAAACAAATCTCGAATTAATTTTTATAAATATTCTAATGCAAATCGGTTAAGATGGTTTAGAGTTTGGATAAGTGCCAAGAAGACCTTCAAGTACGCCAGTTAAGAAAAATAACATTGTCCACATCGAGGGTAACACTAGGGGAAGAGGATGACCAAAGCTAACGTGGGTAGAGTTAGTAAAGAAAGATATGATAACCTGTGGATTGATTAAGGCTATGGCCTGAAATAGAGTAGAATGAAAACATAGGATTCATGTAACAGACCCCAAATAATTGGGGAAAGGCTTGGTTGATTTTGTTTTTGTGTAAATAAACTAATGCAAAATGTACACAATTGTGGGACTCAAGTTTTTTTTATTATTATTATTATTTTTTTTATAATCACATTAGAATATGATTTTGAAGGGATTCAATATTTTTAATTCTCGGTGTTTTAAACAACACAAAAGCTTGTTGAAAGAATATAGTCAATAACTAATTAAAAATTAGAAATAAAAAGCAAAGCTTTAAGAATGGAAATACTGTTAAGATTCTGAACACTAAAGAAACTCTTATCATGAAGTTGTTTTCTTAAGCTAGATTCAAAATTTTGTGTATATTCATATTGCAACCATTTTCTTTCTTTCTTTTATTTCTTCTTCTTCTTCTTCCTTTTTTTTTTTTTTTTAAATAACTTTGTTTTGGATTAATGAGATTCATTCTTCTCTTCATCAAGAAAAAAAAAAAAAGATTACACAATGTGAAGCCCTCGAATTTTCACGTGTAGGTTGGCTAGGCCCACACCCGAAAATACGGGAATATCGAAACAATTTAGTATTTAAACGAACACAGAATACAAGAAGAATAAAAAGAATGAATAAATCACTGAACAAAATTCTATTAATAAAATAAAACCTCCTTGACAAAAATAAATTTCATAAATTTAAAATTCTAAAATACAACTCGGGAATCTTATAAGTCAAGGACCCCTAAACTATAAACTATTAATTCACCAGATACCTAACAATAAATAACAATACTAAAAAGTAAACAAGATGAGTAGATGAATGACATTCTCTCAACTGCGGATCCTCAATCTCGAGACTGGAATTTCTAATAACCTGAAAAATAAATCGTGGGTTAGACCCACGAGCAAGTTCCCTCTACCAAGCCTTTGAAAACCAATAAATAAAACATCTCTAACCAAAATCATCCTAATTAAAGTTTTAACCTTTAATATAAGATGATACATATATAATATATAAAGAACATGTTCATTCATATATTTCTTGAAATCCAAGATCGTAAACAATGATAAGACTACCTCCATATTTAAACTAACCATCAAGTACATTCCACTTTTAAGAAAAAAACTCTTTTAAACCTAAATTCCATATTTAAACAGTTATTTAACATTTAAATAATAAATAATAATCCAAGGAATATTTTCCTTTAATCCAAATCCCAATATCCACCAATGTATAATTTTATTTATAAAGATTATGTAGCAAAGATCTATACTTTGGCAACTCCTCCATGCCTTCGGTAATATTATTTTATTAATACTATAAAATAATATATTATCTTTTAAACATTAGTTTATTCTAATATAAGAATAATTATCACCTCCAATTTATAAACACAATATCCATAGATGTATATTTAATCATCTAACTTACCTAACAATTTATTTATAATTTGGCAACTCATCCATGCCTTCACAAATATTTATTTATGTTTTGGCAAATCAACCATGCCTCTAGAAGTATGTTTATTTATACTATAACAACTCAACCATGCCTCTATAAGTAATTTATTTATACTTTAACAAATCAATCATGCCTGTTAAATGACAATCTGTTTATGTCTTGGCAACTCATCCATGCCTCCAAAAGTATGTTTTTATCCATACTATTAATTAGCAATTCATCCATACTTCCTATGTATGTATTTTATTCATACAATTAATAAGACAATTTATTTATACTTTTAGCAACTCATCCATGCCTTCAATTTAACCATATACCAAACTTTACAATTAACTATGAAATGAATCATACATAGGCACTCCATGCAAATTATAAGCATATAATTAAATTAAATAAACAACCTATTATGATTTCATCAACACTACCATCACATATATAAACATGTTAAATATCAATGAACAACTTACTAGTTGATTAGGTTATACTTATTTATTTATGTATGGCTGTATAACATGTAGGCGTATATAACACGTAGGTTACACAATCTAGCAATGTCCAAATAACACATTACACATTAAATATAAATATTACGAATTATTTGGTTAACAGCCAACCAATACAAATTATCTAAATTGGTTAAAACAATTATGGGATAAAATATATACATATACAAAATTCGTACTGTCTTCCAACTCAATTTTGACAAGGTAAACATTTGTTTCACGAAATTTTCGTGAAATACAAAATTGTAGATAATCGAATTTCCATTCAACTAGGGGAGATTTGAGCCGTTTTGACACTCGAGGAAAGAGATACAGTCAGAATATTAAAACAGGAATTGGAGAAAGTTTCCTAATTAAAGAAGGATTCTTCCTTTTCTTCTAATCAATTTCTTCACATGCATTTATCCTATGTCTAGGTGATTAACATGCTAATTTAATCTATAGATTTTGATACCCAAGGTGATAAACTTATGGGTTCTAAGAGGAGAGTTAGAAAAGAACTTGCCTGAATGTTTCGAAATGAAATCGACGCTTCAACCTTGATTGTCTCTTCCAAATCCGACGTCCTCTTTCTTTGATCCGGTCTTTTCTTTGTCAGCCTTCCCTTCTTCTTTTTTCTCTGCTTCTCTTATTTTTTTCTAACGTGAAAAACCTTTTAATAATATAACCTTATGTGTATATTTAAACATATTAATACCCTAATCCTATTCCTAATATGACTATCCAAATAAAAATAATAATAATCTTAAATAAAATATATACACATATATTATATTATATATATAATTATTTATTATATATATATTCCTCACCCAATAAAAATAAATAATATATATTGCCAATCCTCCTCCACGTAGGACTCTAACTATATTAATATACATAAAATATATAAATATAAATATATATATTATGTAATATATATTTATAAATCCTTTTTAACTATACTTACTATATATATGCATATAGTCCTATACATATATACTTACTATAAATATATAATTCTTTATATAATTATATTTATAAAATTCATTTAATATGCATAATATATATATATATATATATATATATATATATATATATATATATATATATATTAATACATATATACTCATGCATAAATCCATGGGTCTTTAAACCATCCAAAATCCTTTGAGGCTTCTTTCTCCAACCCAAGACCCAAATCATTTGGTCCAAATAATCGAAGCCTAATCCATTAAATTTAAACAAATAAATAAATACTTAATATTAAAACAACTAAATACATGTAACACATAATCTAATAAGAATTAACAACCAAGTCATACCATACAAATAAAAATCAAAACACCAACAAATCAATCAACAATCAAGCACATCATCATACCAATAAATCAAATAAACAAGTAAACAAATAATTAATTTAAAACAAATAAATTCATTAAATTCATTTAAAGGCAATTAATTTAATTAAATAATTCTTTAAAATATAGGGGTATTACACACAATAATCAAAATTCTGTATCAATATATTTATGTGGTAATGGCTAAACCAAACAGCATGAAATTTACTATGTTTTGTTTGCATTTTCATGTAACTTATTAATTCGTTTCAACTCACAACATGTTCGCCTTCCTTTTATTCTTTTACCTACTTTCCTATTCCCTTGCAATATGTAGGTATGAGTCAAGTTTTATCCAGGAGAACCTTAAAAATGTTGGAAATAAATTAGATTCTAGTATAAATGACATTAATTTGTGGTTACAAGATGGATCTAAGAAAGAAGGAGTAGTGGCAATCTGTGGGATGCGTGGAATAGGGAAGACAACCCTTGCGAAAACTGTGTATAATTTGAACTTTAATAGATTTGAGAGTAGCAGTTTTCTTACAGAGGTAAGAGAAACATCAAAAGAACCCAGTGGTTTGGTTCGTTTACAAAGACAACTTCTTTTAGATATTTTAAAGGGGAAAAAAATAAAAATTAACAATGTTGATGAAGGAATCATAAAGATAAGAGATGTTATTTGCTGCAAAAGAATTTTACTTGTTCTTGATGATGTGGATGAAAGAGATCAATTAAATGCAGTACTCGCAATGAGGGGTAGCTTTCAACAAGGAAGTAAAATGATCATAATAACTACAAATGAATAATTGCTGAAGGAACATGAACCGTACAAGAAACATGAAGGTGAGGTATTAACTTATAATGAATCATTTCATATTTTCAGTTGGCATGCCTTTGGACAAGACCACCCCATTGAAGGTTATATGGAGTGTACCGAAAGGGTTGTAAAGTATTGCAGAGGTATTCCTCTAGCTCTTGAAATTTTGGGTTCATCTCTAGCTGGAAGAAGCATAGATGTGTGGGAAAGTGCAATAAAGAAATTGGAAACAATTCCTGACAGTCAGATTATAGCAAAAACTCAAAATTAGCTTTGATTCTTTAGAAGGGGACCACGACAAAAATTTATTCCTTAACATTGCTGCTTTCTTTGTGGGAAAGGACAAAGATTCTGTAATTCCATTACTGCATGGTTGTAATTACTTTACAAAGTATGGCATTGACAACCTCACTCGTAGGCATCTCTTAAAAATCAATGAAGATAACAAGGTAACGATGCATCAATTGCTTCGAGAAATGGGAAGAGATATTATTCGTCAAGTATCAATCAAGGAACCAGGGGAACGTAGCAGACTGTGGCCTGGGGATGCCTTAAATGTATTGAGAGAGAAAATTGTAAGAATTATTCTATGTGTCTTAATTTGCATATTTTTGTTGCATGGTGTGCTTACTTAATGTGTCCTATTCACTAGGGAACAATAACTATTGAAGGCCTCGTCCTCAACTTGCATGGAAACAATTCATCAGAGTGGCATGATCCAGGCTTCTCTTCAAATGAAATAGGCTTAGAGATTGATGCATTTTCTAGGATGCACAATTTAAAACTACTCTGGCTCAATAATGTAAGCTCACTGGATACTATGAAGAATTTTCTAGGAAGTTGAGATGGTTATGTTGGTGTGGGTTCCCTTTGAAAGTTATACCTTTTGAGTTTTCTCTGGAGAAACTAGTACGTTGTTCTTGAGATGAAAAATAGCAACTTGAAACAAGTTTGGAAGGGAAAAAAGGTATGGTATTGAGTTCTCTGTTAATCTTCTTTCTTTTTTCTTTTCTTTTAGGATTAACATGAATATTCATATAAACTAGCTAATTTCTTACTTTTTTCTTACAGTTGCTCAGATCTTTGAAAATCCTCGATCTTAGCTATTCCAATGGTCTTACAAATACGCTTGACTTCTCAAATGTCCCCAATCTTGAGAGATTGATTATTAAAAATTGCATAAATTTGACAGAGGTTCACAAATCCATTGGGGAATTGGGGAGACTAGTTTTGTTGAATCTAGAAGATTGCAAAAATCTTTGGAAGATTCCATTATAAATTGGCTGGCTAATGTCTCTTCAAAATCTTACTCTCTTTTTCTCTCTCTGGTTGCTCAAAGCTTTTCCATTTTCCTAGAAAACTGGGCAAGATGGATTCTTTGAAAATGCTTCACGCAAACCAGATTGCCATAAGTCAGTTTCCAGAGTCGTGTTATTGGCCATCAGGACCAAGAGAAATTCTAGAGTCCTGTTTTTCATGGACTTCCTTACCTTGTTCGTTAACAATCTTAAATCTTGCATACTGTAATCTATCGGATGATGCTATTCCAATGTTCTTGGCAGCCTATCATTGTTGAAGAAACTGGATCTTATTGGAAATCCAATATCTAGGATACCAGAGAGCATCAAGTGTTTCAGTATGCTCCAATCACTTAAATTGGAGAGATGCGAAAGACTCCGATCACTTCCGGAGCTTCCAATGAATTTTAAGTACTTTGTACTTGAAAAATTGTCGTTCGGGTGTTTCAAGAATTAACTTGGCTGCATATGGCTGTAGAAATCTAATTGAGATTCAAGGAGTGTTTAAGTTAAAACCCATTCGAGACCTTAAGGCAGGAATGCTCATAAAATTGGGCTTGTCAAACTTGGAATTCATGGGAAATGTTAAGGTGAAATTGTTCAATTGCATATCAATGACTACCAGAAAAGTTCCTCTCCAGGTGCTCTCTCTTTCTCTCTCTCTGGCTCTCTCTCACCCACACACACACATAAGCATATCCATGAGAGTTAAAAATTCTAATCTCCACACTTGTAGGGACTGTATGAGTGTGGTATATTTAGCACTTTTTTCCCTGGGAGTGTGGTTCCAGGCTGGTTCAGCTTCAAGAGCACCGAATCTTCAATAAGTTTTAAGGTACCTTCACTTCCAAATATCAAGATCCAAGGCTTCAATGTATGTATTGTCTATCAGGAAAATACTGAGAAATTGTTCGCTCTCCAAGGTTACTGGCCAAAATGTTATATTGAAACTAGCAATAGGACCAAGGGTGTGACCTGGATGTACAGCCCAACGTTCATGGGCATTCCAGATGAAAACGAAGCTACGATTGTTGGGATTTATATGCCCTGACATAGTAAATTTCTATTTGGATTAAAGTGACATATGTTCCTGACGTATTTGAAATATTTATGCTTTATACAATTGGTGAATTCAATGTATTATGTTTCGATTCATTATGAAATTGATAGCGTCCACTTGATTACAAGAGATATTTATATATGTATGTGATGGCGATCAATACATGAATATAAATAGTAATCATAAATTGTTCATAGTCGGTAATTATGGATGGACTCATAATTAATTAAGACTTGAACTGGATCCGTGTTAGGTTGAGATATATTGCGAGAGCCGTTGTATGCAATTGCTCCCTATCACCGTCATGACATTTGACTCTTAAGCATAAGAGAAGTATAGACTCTTTTATTAATTAGTAATTACTTTGATTTGTTCGACGGAATCTTCAGAATCCTTAGATCGGCACTTTGGGTAATTATGTAATTAATAGTTAGAGGGTTATATTTTCAATATTTGCATTATTGCTACTTGTATTTATTTTGTATTGATTATGGTTGATCACAAAGTAAATTCGAAGGCCTTCGTGTGTTTTTAGACAAAATGATTTATTATATATTTATTTATTTAAATTATTATTTTTGTCAAACAAATGTTTTATTGTACTCAAGCCAGAAATAATCAAAAGTACCAAAATAAATATATTAATTAAGTAGTCGGATTGATGGTTTTATTTATCCGATAACTAATTATGCATAGAGGGGTCAAAGTGCAAAATTGACTTAGAGGTTATTTATTATTTAATTGGAGTTCAGTTAATTTCTTTTACTAGAGTAGAAATTAATTTATGAATTAATTGAATTGGGTCCATGGACCGGGCCAATTATTAATTCATTGTAGCCAATAAAATAATAAGCCCGAAGAATTCTCACTCATAGCCCAACTTGATATTGGAATCCTATTAGATTTGAGACATGTGAATTAGAGATTGAGAAGGATTTATTGTTTCCTTTTCCTTATCTTTATGTTGCCTATATATATAGATAGTCTATGTATATTTTGGGGGTGATTTTTAGAAGAAGGAAAAAGGAATATATTTTCTCTCTCTAGAAAATTAGGATTAATGTTCTCATCCAATGGAGGCTCCTACAAGCCTAGTTTTCCAAGGTCATTAATGGAGACTTATGAGTGATTCCTAAAGGCAAAACAATTACCAAGAAAATGGAGATCCAAGGAGAATGCATCTTGCTAAGGGATCTACAATAAGTGAGAACATTCACTTTAGGGGAAAGATTTAAATGTTTACTCAGACCTTTGATGTAAGTATTCAATCTGTTAATTGAATGATACATCTTATTTTATTTTGGCATAAAACTTGTCTTTATGTGATGAATCAAGATCTGTGAATGAAAACCCCTCAAAAAGTTTTTAAAACTAGCACGTTTCCCAATAGTGGTATCAGAGCATGGTTTGGTTCATTACTAGAGATCATATTTTTATCAAAATCATCATTCATGGATCCAAAATAAAATTCATATATTTTTTTATTGATGTATGTTGATGTATAATTTAATATGTTGATATATATTGATACATGATGATGTATGAATAATTGTGAATGAATGATGATGTATGGTTGGGCCATGGATGAAGCTTATAGGTTAAATAAATGTAATTTTATTTTTAAATGAATGTAATTAAGGCTTTGATTTAGCTGTTTGAAAGTTCAATGATGTAATTTAATTTTTTTCATTGTATTTTAAATTGTAAATTTATTTAAAGCCATGTAATCTTCATCAAAGGATGCTATGAAGTTTTAAAAATGTCCAAAAGGGTTAAATTAGGCTTCGGGAATTTTCTAGAATTTTTTTAAAATTTTTCAGAATTTTTCTGAAATTTTTTGGGCTTAATTTAATTTTCTAGAATTTTTTAAAATTATTTTCTGCAATTTCAGCAGTTTTCCAGCGACCGGATCGTCATCGGCGGCAAGATCAGCACCGGAATAGGGGAGGAGGATCCGGTGCGGCGCGGTGCACATGCACCCGCATCGGAAACCCTTGGATCATCATCAACCGTGGGAGAAGATCTGGTGTAGCGCAGCTGGAAGGTGGTCTATGCACCACCAATGGTGAGGTGCGTGCAGGCCACGCGTCGGAAGGAAGTCAGCACCACATGGCGCTTGGAATGCGTTGGCAACTCCCACATGCGCATGGAACGCGCTGGCAACTCCCACATGCACGTGGGAGCACGTGAACACGCACTGCATGCACCACCAGCGTGTGCGAGCGCGTGGCACGCTCTGGGAACTTTCCTTAGCGCGTACAGGCGCGTTAAATGTGCTTTGAGGCGTCCGATGATGTCCGGTGACGCGTGGGGTCAGCTCACATCCTCCTGCGGGTACACAAGCCTTTGATTGACCCTCGCGCAATACTTAGAGCAATTAAATGTTAAAAGCTAAATCCATTCGCCATTTTTATTTGCTTTATCTGTCATTTATTGATGTATGTGATGCATGTAATAATTAATTGCTTATTATAATTGTTCATGCATTGGATCCATGATTTTTATTTTAATGACTTGATTTATATTAATTAAATTATGAAAATTAACTGGTTTTGATTAGTAATTAATTAGAGGACACTTATTGGGAAACGAAAAATTATTTTTGAAAATTATATTGAAAGTGTGACTCAAATTAAATATTAGTGAATCATTTAAAAGTCCAGTTATTTTCTAAATTTAATTGGATTAAAATCAAGGCATTTTACATGCATTATATCATGGATATGAATAAATTAAAAACCCTAATTATTAATTGTTGATGTGTATATCCTCAGGACTCGGAGCGACGGCGTTTACCTGCAAAACAAAGGGACGTCACTTCGAATGGCATCGATGGGGTGCCAGCTAAGGACCCTCTGACGATCAAGTTAGTACTTGTAATCATATCACATAATAACTATGTATATTTTGTTT